ATGGGATAATGCAGCTCGCACCATTACAGTGACTCAGTGAATACCAAAATATTGAAAATCACAAGCTAATACAGGGCATAACAGTTTTGCTGATTTAGAAACCAGGTTTCTGGGGGTGCCTGGGTGGCTCAGTGGGTTAAAGCCTCTGCCTTCGGCTCAGGTCATGGTCTCAGGGTCCTGGGATCGAGCCCCGCATCAGGATCTCTGCTCAGTGGGGAGCCTGCTTCCCCCCATCTCTCTCTGCCTCTCTGCCTCCTTGTGATCTCTGTCTGTCAAATAAATAAATAAAATCTTAAAAAAAAAAAAAAAGAAACCAGGTTTCTGGTCTCTGAATTTACTTCATAATGGTTGTCATTTAATGTTTTACTAGTGGACTTTTCCTTAGTGGAAAGCATATAATGGAGATATGGGTTTATCTCATCCAGCAGAAAATGTGGGTTTATATGAACTGTTAGGAGGAAAAAAGAGTATGTTTTTAATAACAGATATTAAAACTTTTTTCATGTTGTTGAGGATTCTCTTTTATATTTTATAATAATGATGTTGTTAGAGTCATTGAATAGGGGCACCTGGGTGGCTCAGTCAGTTAAGCATCTGCCTTCAACTCAGGACACAATCTCAGGGTCTGGGATTGAGCCCTATGTCCAGCTTCCTGCTCAACAGGGAGTCTCGTTCTCCCTCTGCCTCTACCCCTCCTCTTTGCTCATGCTCTCTCTCTCGAGGTCTCTAATAAATAAATAATATTTAATAAATATTAAATATTGAATATCAGTTAATTTGGAATAAGTTTGGGGATATATGTGGATCTTTTTAGAAGTCTCCTAAGTGAAGAACCACAAGTCAACATATTAAATTCTTTCCAGCAGGAATTATTAAAATAAAGCAAGGAGAAAATTGTTACATTCAATTTTTATTCATATATTTAAATTAGGGGGGAAAAAGAAAATCACAGAGATTCTATTCTAAATCAACAACCTGGATGAGAAAATCAGAATCTTGCGTGATGAGTAAACAACATTTGAAATCATGCAAGAATGAGTTCCTACTGGTTCAGCGGAGCTGAGTGGAGCTCCACTCCACTCAGCGGAGCTCACCATGGAGATGGGATGATTTCATGCCCCAGGGGACACTTGGCGATGTGTGGAAATAATTGGGGTTGTTGTATCTGGGGAGGGGGTGCTCCTGGCATGTGGTCCATGGAAATAATTGGGGTTGTTGTATCTGGGGAGGGGGTGCTCCTGGCATGTGGTCCATGGAGATCAGAGATGCTGCTCCTCACCTGACAGTGTCCAGGATGTCCCACCCCAGAGAACCATTCAACTCCAGACTGAGAGAACCCGACCTGGATTTGACCAATTTCCCAACTCTGCCTCTTCTTCACTCTTGTTAAGGACACACATGGGAATTTCTGACTTTAAGCATCTCCCCTGCTTTAGCTGTGTTGACTGGCCCAACTGCAGATGTTGGTTCAGCAAAGAAAGAAAAGAAAGCAAGGAAAGGAAGGAGATGCTCAGTTGAAAATTATGATCAACTATTTGCTCCATTTCAAGTATGGCACGCTGAAATTTGCCCAGTTCTTCCTGGGTTGCAATCATGTCTTTGAGTTGCTCACCTACGTATGGATTACCCCCACGAAGATAACACGCCGGTGCTCCACTGGGCATCAAGCCACCATCATGGGTCCACTCTGTAAGTCGACTGTGGCTTTGGTTCTATAATTGCATGATTTTCCAGGTGTGTAAGGGAAAGAAGGAACTTTTTGGAAGAACATACAGGCACTTCCAAGACTGGTCTCTGTGGCTAGAAGATTTTTGTTAGTGAATATTAATAGGGAGAATGTTTTAATTACTGGAGAGGCTGCATTTGGCTTTATTAGTTGGCCCTAAGCTGTACCCTAACCCCTAGAGCCCCCTGGATCCACAGAAGAGTGGGAGTAATCATAGTATTACTGTCCTTCCTCCAAAGCTTGAGGAGATAACATCCAGGTAGCATCGCGGTGCCCTTGGATGAAAGGTCCCATAAAAGTAATTACTGTTTTGATTTCAGCTGTGGTTGAGGAATGCCTCCCAGAATTATACAGCTTTACCATCAAAGAACCCCAAAAGATCAGTGAGTGTATCTTCCTTACTTTAAAGGAGATAGCATAGATTTCTGCACCATGAGTATATTTATCCCTTCCTCTTCAGCCTGATTTCAGATGGCTCCCTCCTGATTCTGTGGAAAAGCAAGGTTGCAATCCACACCCTTACCCCTGCCTTTTGCCGGCTGCTTCTGGAATGAGAAGAATGACACACCATGGTGTGCCATTGCTTATGATTTCTCAAAAATTTAATATTTAGCAGCAGCGTCCCCTCACAAAACTTCCACTGGCTAAGTATGCAGGTAATTTTCTTGGAATCTTTCTTAAAAGTGTATTTGTTTCCTGGGGATGCTGTAACAAATGACCACAGACTGAGGGCTTACAGCAACATAAGTGTAACCTCCCCCAGTTCTGGAGACCAGGGTCTGAGCTCCAGGTGGGGAAGGGCTGCTGAGATCCAGGCAGGGCAGGGCTGTGCTCCCTCCTGAACCTCCATGGGAGGGCCCTTCCTGCCTCCTCCAGCTTCTGGGGCTCCAGGCGTCCCTGGGTTTATGGCCACACCCTTCCCATCTCTGGCTTTGTCCTCACATGGCTTCTTCTCTATGTTTGTTTCTCCTCTTCTGTCTCTTACAAGGAAAGCTTACTTGGATTTAGGGCCACCCTCATCCTCAATGATGTCATCTCCAGATCCTTTACTTATTCACATCCAGAAATACCCTATTTTCATGTAAGGCACCATCTCCAGTTTCTTCCATGTAACTACCTGATAACCTCTCTCTCACTAAAGTGTCCATAACTGATATGTTTTGCTATTTCTGGGTCATTGGGAGGTAACCTCTAAAGGTGAAAACATGAAAATCAGGAATTTTAAAGGCTTTTTTTCCCCAGGTTTGTTGAGATGGAATTGACACAGAACATGGTAAATTTAAGACATACAATGTGATGATTTGCTGTCGGTATGTATTACAAAGTGATTACCAAAAATCGGCTAACACATCAGTCACTCACATAGTTGCATTTTTTCCGCCATCATTTTGGAAGGTCCATACCACCAACCAAGAGCACTGGTTTTGGGGTTTTGCTTCATTTGGATTTGGTTTTTGACTCTCATTCTCCCTATGGAAGGATATAGACTACACACATCTGCATTTGCGTTTTTATCCATTTGAGGATGTAATTCTTTTGTTGACTAATGTATTTCCTGCCTTTTCAGTTAATAACATGACCTTATAGAATAGGCTTTTGAGCAGTGCTTCTTGATTAGGTCCATAACTTTGAACATCTCTTCAAAGATAGCTGGGAAGTAAAACCAATTTGGAAAACCACATTGATCTATGATACCAGTCTTTTGCATTTGTCCATCTCCAGAAGCCCAAATATGCATCACCAGTTTGCCCACCTTTAAAAAATTCCTCTGTTAAAATCTGGTGTGGGGGAGGAAGGGGAGAAATGGGTTGTGCAGAACAGTGTAGAGGAGCTTCCTGAATAGACACGTTTTTCTTGATTTGATATGTATAATTCTTTGAGACAGTAGGAGCTCTGTTATAACTCTGATTTCCATCTACTTTATAAATAGCTTTTATTTATTGTTGGTTAGAAAGATCTTTGCACAGGTGACTAGGACCATCCATGGTGAGTTTACCCGTCTTGGGTTGGAGAAATACATTCTTAGGAAATGAGATGGATATGGCTACAGTTGGTAAATTAAAAACAACAACAACAACACCATTCTTGCATCTTTCATGCAACCCTTGTGAAATACTCGATGTCTTCAGTGAGCATATACTAGAAATGCATTTTGGAAACTACTGGAAATTTACAGGAATGCCATGTAATGTGTGAGGCAATGGGGCTGGAGAGAGGAAACATTAGAGTATGGCTTCTTGGGACGTCACCATGGAAACAAGTTGAGTACACAAGTATTGATGGGGGTTTCTGTGGGGCAGAGGCAATGGGAGGGTCAGCTTCACCAAGTGGCCCAGGAAAATCATACCACCCAAGAGTCTTCCTGGAGGTCTAAAATGACCAGGGAGCCCTGGGAATTGGACACACACACACACACACACACACATGATTATAAGGAAGAGACCTTCTGAATGCCACATCTGCAATTTACCAGCCTCTGTGAAAGTGTTCTAAGTTCTATGACCCCAGCTCCCTCTCCCATAAAACAAAAGAAGTGTCATAAAGCCTTTGAGGCAAGCAGGGTGAGGTATTTTAAGGATCCAAAGGGAACATTGGAGATGCCTTGGGGATGAAAAAGCCCTATAAACTCTAGGGTGGTGTCATTAATCATTATTATATACCATTTGCCTTGTGGGGAGGTTCCTCAGCCTATCAAATATCAACAACTTGGAGCCATTTGGGGAACTTCTGTGGGGAGAACACAGGACTCTACTACTCTTTGGACTCTTATAAAAGGATTGTAATTATAGCTGCTAACATGCCTTCTTGCATTCAAGGAGTTGGGCCAACATCACCATACGTCCATAGTGTTCATCACTGTGTGTTTTTTTTTTTTTTTAAGGTAGACATTGCTTATCTACCTTGGGGAGGAAAATGTTCCTTGTAGCTGTGTACCATACATACCGTATGCCTGGTACACATAGTTACGGAATGCCTGCCCATTCATCGACGACTTATGTATTTCAGCGACTCTGCCATGAAGGGTTTTTGTTGTCAGATCCACATCATGTGTTGGAAATCTGCCATGACATCTACCCAGAAATGTCTGGGTCGTGTTCTTTGTCAGATTCTCTCTGGGTGAACATGACTGGTTTGCAAGTGAGCTGTGAAGGATTGAGAGGATGACCACATGAACAGGTTCCTTAGTCCTTTGGATCAACAGCCTGCTTATGAGACAAATGTCGGCTCTACAGCTCTTTTTTTTTTCTTTTTCTTCCCTAGGGGAGCAGCACACACAGTCATGAAGCAGCCATTCTCTAACTGGTGAGTAGGTGACTTTGTAAACCATCCTTTTTCTCTGTATCCCTGTCATGTTCTCCATCCCGTGTTCCTCACCCGGGCTGATGTTTGGTCTACTGCATCCGCCCTAAACCTGCTACAGATAATGAGGGGTGTGCCAGGAGCTGTGGGTTGCTGACGTCCCACAGGATGCCTTTGCTGAGGAAGCGACGCTTACCGTACGAGGGACGGCATGTATGCAAATTCATTGGGTTGCCCAAGGTCCAAAGTCATGGGTCATTGCAGGGATTTTAAGGATGCCATCGATGAGCCAAGGCTGGGGAGTGGGTAGTGAGAGGAAAGCATGACGGAACAGCATAGAACATCACGTGGTGCGGCTTGCCAATCATGGCGCAATGGGAAGCCATTGGACTTTGTTGGGGAGCGTTGCAACCAGATTCATAGGATAGGGTTGCTCAGGTTGGCTGCATTTTGGAGGGCGTTCAAATGGCAAAAATGGGATGGGCCAGGCCATTTGGGAGAGTTTTGAGGAATCCAACCGAGACACGCTTTGAGTTAGTTGGCTTGCCGTGACGGGGCCTGTAGGTGGATGCATGCAAATGGATTTAAGATGCATTTTTTTGAGGTAGAGTGAGCAGGGCTTGGAATGGAATGGATCGGTTGGAATTTGGGGTTTTGGAAACACTTTCCTGCACGAGACAATGGTCCTCTACTGGGAACGATTTTGTTCAAAATCTTTTTGGAGCATATGATAGCATTTAATAGTCACAAATGCATGAGTCTACAGCCTAACACTTAGGAGCATATGCAAGTATGCCAATTTTCCTTTTTCAGATGTTAAAAGAATTCTCAATGTTATTTTAAATAAATATTTTAATGTATTAAAAAATACAACTGAGCATCAAAAGAAAAAAAAACAAAAGAAAAGACAGGCTCACTAGCGATTTGCTCCTGATTTTCTATTTTGTTTACATTTTTATTCAAATAAATCAAATTATGAGGCCTCCCATTAAGGTTAAATTCAAATAAACCCACTCGGGTTTAAACAGTATTTAAGGGTCTCATATCGTGAAAAGGTTGGGAAAGTTATAAGAATTTAAATATCACCATGTATAGAAAATTAATGTGTATGTTATACTATGTTAACATGGAATAGGACTTTAAAAAAACATTCTGGGGGCGCCTGGGTGGCTCAGTCGGTTTAGCATCTGCCTTCGGCTCAGGTCATGATCCTGGGTCCTGGGATTGAGTCCCACATCGGGTTCCCTGCTCCCCAGGAAATCTGCTTCTCCCTCTCCCTCTGCTCCTCTTCCTTGCTGTGTTCTCTCTCTTTCTCTGCCTCAAATAAATAAACAAAATCCTTAAAAATAAATAAAGAATAAAGGCATAAAATAAAATAAGTTCTGGATTCCGAGGAAGGTAGTCCAGGGGTCCAGTGTGGTGGGTGTCAGTAAGAAATAGCACGATGGCGCCTTCTCTGCTGCCCACAAGGCAGGATTGACCGTGTGTGTTGCTGTGTTTGTTACGTCCCCAAATGCTTCCAGGACCAGCTGGCTGTCGGTGTGCCTGTGCTGCTGGCTTGGGGGTCTGAGTGCGGCCTTTACCACGAGGAACTCCAGGCCCAACATCGTGCTGCTGATGGCCGACGACCTTGGGGTGGGGGACATTTGCTGCTACGGTAATAACACAGTGAGGTAAGGAAGCCATCCTTGCCCCACTGTGGAGGGAGGGGTGCCCCGGACGCTCGGGAGCAGCTGGGCCCTAGCAGGGGCGTGGTCGGCTTTGACCATCCATGGGCACCAGGAAAAGCAGAGCTCAGCCTTTGCATCCGTCTCTCCCTGGTCTGGTGGCTGCTGTCCTGCTTTTGAGGTGAGATTCCCCTAACACGGCAGCTCCTCTGTAGCCCACAGATAAGGCACCATTCAGGGGGCGGAGCCCATGCACAGGGTGGCGCAGCTGTGCCCTCTGTCTGCTTCCAGAACTTCTGTATGGCCCCCAAAAGGCTACCCCACACCTAGTACCAGTAGCCTCTACCCCTCAGCCCTCAGCCCTCAGCTCCTAGCAATCGCCATTGTGCTCTGTCGCTTGGGATTGGCTCATTCCAGAAATGCTACATCCTGAGCGGCTTCAGCAACACACATGGATTCCCTCCTGGTCCTGGAGCTGTGAGTATGAGATCCAGGCAGGGCTGAGGCTGGGAGTGTGAGATCCAGGCAGGGCTGAGGCTGGGAGTGTGAGATCCAGGCAGGGCTGAGGCTGGGAGTG